TCTCCCCCGTCCGCGACATCTGCGAGCTTCCCGACGCCATCGAGCGCGTCACGTGCACCTTTGAGTACATGCTGCCCGGCGGCCTCGCGCCGCGCTCCATGTACGACGAGGCGCGCACCTACTCGGAGTACCTCGCTCAGTGGATGGTGAAGGCGCTGATGTGCGCCATCCTCAAGCGCTGGCGCCTCGGCGCGTACGACCAGGTCCGCCCTGCCGTTTCCTCCGCAGCCCTCCTCCGCATCGACCCTTGCCTCACTCCTCCGGCACTGCGACCGCAGGAGGACCTGAAGCTGGTGCAGCCACACATCTCGGGTCTCTGCGTCGGCTACGTCGCTCCCAGCCTCAACGGCGCGCTCGCCGAGTCGCTGCAGAACGAGATGGGGTTTCAGCAGCTCATGGGCCAGGCCTTCGACGTGTCGGCGCTCAAGAAGGCGAGTGACATGCTCGACGCCGTGATTGTTCACGGAGGCCGCGACTTTGAGACGCTGCGGAAGGAGGGCATCGTCGACGACCGGGACCGCTGCTGGTGCTCGCTCAAGATCCTCCGCTACTACTTCCACCAGAACCAGGCGGGGAAGCAGCCGGACTGGCAGTCCGACTTCTCCTGGTCGACGTCGGTCGTCGTCCCGCTCTGGCTGCAGCGCATGTACGGCCACGGCGAGCGCGACGCGGAGGACCAGCTCGAGTTCACGCAGCTCTTCGGCCCGGCCATGCTCGAGGGGTACGAGGCTTCGGGCGACCTCGACCGCCTCCGCGAGGAGCTCGAGCGCAACAGCGGCGTGCTGCCGTCGCCGCTCTCGAAGGAGGCGTGGACGTGGCAGCGGAAGGCGCGGAAGGCGACCGGTGGTGCGTCCGCCACGACGCCGGCGCTCTCGGCCTCGCCCATGCCCATGCCCTCGCTCGCGCCCACGCCCTCGCCTGCCTCGTCCTCGCCGCCCTCGTCGTCTGCGTCGACCTCGGCATCCGTCGGCAGCAAGCGGGTGCTGCAGCCGGACACACGCGCCGCGAAGAGGCCGCGCGGCAGCGGCGAGGGCATGGCGACGACGCCCGAGCCGCCGCCGCCAGCCAGCCAGCCCGCAGCCTCCTTCGAGCCGTCGGATCGCGAGCGGCTCGCCGTGCTCGAGATCGTGCTCCGAGGAGAGGCGATGCCGGGAGCGCCGATGCCGCGACTCGAGGCGCGCGAGAAGCCAAGAAACACTGGGATAATAGCACTCCTCCGCCACCTCACCCTTGCCTCGCTCCCCTTGGCACAGGAGCTCGAGGTGCTCTGGCCCGCGCCTGCACCAGGAGCGGCCGAGCCCGTTGAGGCCCCATCGATCGCTGATCGCATCGCCACCGTCGAGGAGGAGGCCCGCGAGCAGGAATGGATCCGCTCGAATTCCCTCTCGTGAAAGCGTGGCACGTACCGTCCACTTTCGAGCATGTCTGTCCAGTTTCGCATTCCGCCCATGGCTGGTGGGACGTCCTCGCCACTGTCAAGGCCTCGCCGACCGTCGCACGACCGTGGTCGTGGAGGCAGCCCGCGGAGAGTGCTGGACCCGACCGTCGCAGCCACTTGAACCCTTGGATCGGACTATCGTCGGTATGTTACTCCGCACTTTCGACCGCACTCGTTTGCTAACGGTTTTTGCTGAGTGCTCTTTGCTGACGCACTGCTGTGACGGTGCTATGGTATATTGTCGGGAGACGAAGCCAGTCTGGTCGTTGGGCGTCACGGGTGCAGGACATGGCCACCTCCATTGACACCTCCACTGGCCATTGGTACCGAGCCGCTGCCAAAGGTGACGGCAAAAGCCTGAGAGGCAGCGGCTCGGCACGTAGGTAGCAAAATGGATCCCTGGGATCGGTGGAGCATGAGTCGTCAGGCGCTAAGTAGGAGACGCAAAAGCTGACGGCTGTCTCTGCGTTTGCTCGCTGCTGTCAACGGCGGGTGTTGAGAGCTGCAAGCGTCCGAGACGAGGGCGGACGCAACGGCAGTGTGGAGCAGCGAGGAAGAGGCAGTAGAGAGAGAGAGAGAGAGAGAGAGGGAGAGAGAGAGAGGGAGAGAGGGAGAGGGAGAGGGAGAGGGAGAGGGAGAGGGAGGGAGGGAGGGAGGGAGGGAGAGAGAGAGAGAGAGAGAGAGAGAGAGAGAGAGAGAGAGAGAGAGAGAGAGAGCAGCGATGCATCGTGTCAAGTGCTCCTTGCCCAATTCGGTACCCGACGAGCGCTGTGTCGGTCGCTTTTGCCAGAGCGACAAGCTGCGAGGTTACGCCAGAGGAGCCGCCGCCCACAAGCGCCGAGACGTCGCTGCGAAGTAACGCAGCGACGGTGGTTTACGCCGCCAAAACCTGGAGCTCAAACGATTGGCAGTGAATGACCGAGGCCCACGCTCTCATCGCCACGCAGAATGTGGTGGCTGGCGAGGAGGCTACAGCACGCAAGCTGGCGATAGGTCAGACCGCGGTCGAAGCCACCCCTCGTGAGAGAGACGAGAGCTCGAACGGCATCCAAGCAAGGAGGTGACTTCAGCTGCTCTGCCCATTTAGAATTTTATTTTTTTTCATGCGCTCTGTGGTGAGCGGGTTCCAGGACGGCAGCAAGTCCGCTCTACTAAAAGCGGAAACAACAACTCAACCGCGCCGTGAGGCGATTCCGGATCTCGTAGTCGCAAAAGTCGGCGACGGCGCGAACAGCCTCACCCGGCTGCCTCCACCTCGGCGCGAGCCACGTGCACGACCGCCTTGTCGAGGCGGCGGTACTCGGCCGACGGCGGTGGAGCAGCAGCAGCAAACCACCAAATTTTCTTCTGTTTTTCTTTTTATGGCCTCCCAGAATACTCACTCTACATCGGAAGGGCCTAAAAAGAAATCGTCGAGCGCTCCGTGGGCAAACTGTGCACGAGGCGCGCGGATTCGCGGAGAGCGGGAAACCCTGTCAGAAGTCCTCCTCCGGGAATGTACGTAAAGAGCCACATACATTGAGAAACCTAGGCGCGCGTCCAACAAAAAGTTTCTTTTCAACACCTTGATCAACATCAGACGACTCAAGGATAAGCGTTCTGGATTTCTGGGGACAGGACGCGGCACACACGGGGTACAAACGCCAGGCAGGCCCATGTCCCCGCAGTTTTCACAGCTCTTGGTAGGGAACCTACACTCGGGTGAGTCTTTCGGTGAGCGCGGGTTAGCGCGGGTTAGTGCTCACTAACCCCGCACGGGTCAGTCAGCACGGGTCAGAATGGGTTACCATAACCCGGCACTAACCCGGCACTAACCCGTGCGGCTGGGGGGCATACGTCAGCATGGGTTTGCGCCAGGTTAGGGGTGGGTTAGGGCCGGGTTAGTGCAGCGCACCCCGGGTTAGAGCTGGCTGGCGAGATGAATCGCAAGACCTCGAGGGTGATTTTGGGGACGTGCGACCGTTACGCCCGGGCCGGCCCACCAAATAAGGCGGGCGCCACGATTCGGACTGCGAGGGCACGGTGTGTATGGAGGCGCTCCCACCCATGCGCGCTGGGCGAGTTCATGCCCGTTCGTGGCGAGTTCAATGGTGACGTGCGCGGCACTAATCTGTCCTGGGGCAGCGGCGAGGACGGCAAGCTGGGACACGGCGACAAGGAGGATCAGTGGCAGCCCAAGAAGATCGAGGCCTTTGCTGCCCAGCGCGTCGTCGCTGTGTCGGCTGGAATGCCTCACAGCCTCGCCCTCACCGCCGATGGCGCGCTCTGGAGCTGGGGCTGGGGAGAGGATGGCACGCTGGGCCACGGCGACGAGCAGAGTCAGCCGCTGCCCAAGAAGGTCGAGGCCTTGGCGGGGCAGCGCGTCGTCGCTGTGTCAGCTGGAGAGCACCACAGCCTCGCCCTCACCGCCGACGGCGCTGTCTGGAGCTGGGGCTTTGGATCGCAAGGCCAGCTGGGCCACGGCGACTGGCAGAGCCAGCTGCTGCCCAAGAAGATCGAAGCCTTTGCTGGCCAGCGCATCCTTGCTGTGTCGACTGGAGGCGACCACAATCTCGCCCTCACCGCCGACGGTGCCGTGTGGAGCTGGGGCTGGGGAGCCGATGGCCAGCTGGGCCACGGCGACCAGCAGAACCAGCTGCTGCCGAAGAAGATCGAGGCTCCGACTGGGCAGCGCGTCATCGCTGTGTCGGCTGGATACTTCCATAGCCTCGCCCTCACCGCCGACGGCGCTGTCTGGAGCTGGGGCGATGGCCACTTTGGCAAGCTGGGCCACGGCGACCAGCAGCGCCAGCTGCTGCGGAAGAAGATCGAGGCCTTGGCGGGCCAGCGCGTCGTCGCTGTGTCGGCTGGAGGCCACCACAACCTCGCCCGCACCGCCGACGGCGCCGTCTTCACCTGGGGCGCGGGCGAGGGCGGCTGCCTGGGCCACGGAGAGGACCTGTCCAACCAGCTGCTGCCCAAGAAGATCGAGGTGTGGTCGCAGGAGTGAGAGGGGGGCGAGGGGCGCGTGGTTCATACAGGAGTGCGGCCGACTCGGGAGAGGCCAAGATCCGGATAGGGTGGGAGGGCTTCACAAGCGCTAGACTAAGAGCACAGATACTGTGGTGGCTGGGGAGCTGGATGGCGTGAGTCGTGACGATCTGACGGGCCCAGGAAATTCTTTTTCTGGGCTGCCTGGAACCCGCACACTAACGCCGTAAAAAGCCGTACACGTGTACGTCTACGTACCACGAGTGCTTCCGACAGAAAAAGAAGATACTTACATTAAGGTAAGGTAAGGTAAGGTAAACTTCTCCACACACACGAGGTGGTGGGGCAAGGGGTGGCAACCCTCGCGTCTCCACATTATTTATTCGCCAGCGAGGGATCGCCGACCGCGACGCTCATCAACTGCATCGGATACTAGTCTGACAGCAAAAGGCCGAGGCGGACGCCTTTCTCTCCCGACGCGCGCTCCTCTCGCTGCAGCTCTTTCCCCCAGTCGGGGGTGGCCAGGGCTGGCGCGGGGCAGACGGTGCGGCATCCCTTCCTTCACCCAGCACCCAACACGCCAGCGCTCTGATTACAGCTCCGACTTGTCCGCCGACGTTTCCTTCTTCTTCTTCTTCTTCTTCTTCTTCTTGGCCTTCTTCTTCTCCGGCGGCGGCGGCGGCGCCTCCTTCGCCCGCCGAAGGAACTCTTCGCCCACAGGCCTGTTTGGTGGCGCAACAGGCTGCGGCTGCCCGCAGTTGCCCGAGAGCTTCGCGAGGCCGGCGCCCGCCGTTGGGGAGCCGCACACCTCGGCGACGAGGGTGTCGTGCGACGAGTAGGCGTCCCCAAAGAGCTTCTCCGCCAGCTCCGAATCCACATCGTCCAGCACACGCTGGCACGCCGCGCCGGCCGTCGCGCACTCGACGCCGCACCTGCACGCAGCTGCCGGTGTGAAGAGACGCCGTCCAACTCACAGGTGCCGCGGTCCAATGCACTCGACGCCGCACTCGCCATGCGAGCTCATGCGCTTCAGCGCGACCGTCCCGTCGGTCTGCTCCTGCATATCATAGTCGTGGAGCCACTCGCCGGCCTCGGCGCTCGTGTCGCAGAGCGGTGCGATCGCGGTGAGCAGCGACATCTCCGACGCACCTACAAGGACATGTCTCGGACCTGTCTCGGACCTCTGGACGAGTGCTGCGTAAACGACAGCTCTTGACGCACCCTTGCCGCCGGCGCGGAGCGTCTTGGCGACGTGAAACGCGCGACGCACCGTCGCCTTGCACGCGGCGCACTGAATCAGCGGCACATCCTCCATTCGGGGCTCCGGCTTTGGAGGAGGGCCGCCGCCCATCCCGCCCATCCCGCCCATCCCGCCCATCCCGCCCATCCCGCCCATCATGTCGCCCATTCCGCCCATGTCGCCGCCGCCCATGCCGCCCATGCCGCCCATGCCTCCCATGAGAGAAGAGAGATCCGGCTCCTGTGCGGAGGCGAGAAACAGCAGGCAGGAGAGCAAGAGCGAGCGATAGGCCGGCGACATTCGGTGCTACCTGGACTGGCGCCGCTGCCGTGCTCTCTGCGCCGGGGCACACGTGGTGGCTGGCGAGTACTCGATGCGGGCGATGTGTCACGGGTCCCCCCTCACGGGTCCCCCCTTCGGGGGGGCGAGGGAACCCGTGCTGGGGCGAGCCTCGGCGAGACTGCGTCAGCTGTTCCCACAGCAGGCTGGAAGTACCTCGCCAGCGTGGAGAGCGTGATGTTTGTTTTCTGTGAACGCTGCTTCTCGGTTGCCCTTGGCAAGGGTCTCGGTTGCGCAAGGGTTATCCTCACACAACGTCCTCATTTTCGAAGTCGCAAACACATCTCGGCCGCGTTCCGGCGGTGGCGTGAATGCTTTAGCATTCTCGCCCGCTCTGCTGAGGGGAGGGGCAGGACGAGCGGTCGCCTGAGGCGCCCATCTCTATCCACCCTCTCTTGGTTTGCCAGCGGGGCACGTGGCCAAGGACGACGTTTCAGGATCGCGCGTCCGCTTGTTTGCGCACGCGCGTTCTCGTCCACGCCACTGTGCTCCCGCCCTTTGATCTCTGTCGCCGGTCGCTGATGTCGGCCATTGAGACGCTTGTGGAAAGGGCGCTTACTAAGGCCACCAAGGACAGTGCCGTGCATGGCGTGGACAAGGATCAATACCTGTTGTGTTCCTCTGTCGTCAAAGCCGGTGAGCGTAATTACTATACCGTCAAGGTGCTGCAGACGGGACTCGACGAGAGCCAGGCCAAGGCGGCCGCTCTCGCCCTGCTGTCGCAGCAGTACGGAGGCACCGCCTCGGGTGGCCCCGCCGATGCGGCAGAGAAGGTTGTCAAGACACTTGAACGTTTGTCGTCATCACAGTTGGGTCACTTGGCCGCGGGCTGGGCCACGCAACTCGGAGAGGCATTCGCCAACGCGGGCATCCTTTCGACAGTGGAGGCTGGCTCGCTCGCGGGCCGCACCGGCAGCGGCAAGGTGCCGCTCGAGAGCGGTGAGGAGGCGCAGATGCCTTACACCGTCATTCAAGGACCATCCGAGGGCATGTACGTGCTCGAGGAGAGCGGAGCGCAGGGCGAGCCCCGACGCTCGGTCGTCCTCAACACCTTGCTGGTGAGCCTCATGCTACAGCCGGCGCAGGCACACGTCGTCTCTAACGCGACGCTTGTCAAGGTCGACGGCTCGAGCAATGCTCTGGCTGTTTTCCGCAAGTTGCCCAAGTCAGGCAGCGCCGCCGAAGGCCACGTCTCGCAAGAGGAGATCCTCCAGTTAGCAGACGGTCTTCCGGCCGCGGGCGCGGTCTCGCTCTCGGGAGAGGAGCGCGTCAAGACGTTCGCCCGAGCTCTCGAGGCCAAAGTCTCCGGCGGCGAAGGCTCTGGCTGGGAAGGCTCTGGCTGGTTGGCCGCTGTTGGGGACAAGGCGACCTACTCCGTCTTCGAGCTTCGGAGTCAGCTCGAGAGGCTTGGCCCCGACTTCACGCCGGTCGCCGCGCTGCCCGCACCCAAGTCGCGCACGGAGTTCTTCACGCGCAATATCCGCGGGGAGAACTGGGGCGACTTCGCCAAAAGGGTCGCCCCTCTGATCGAGCCCGATGAGCAGCGGTGCACTTTCATTCGCTCCAGTGAGGTGGTCCTTCGCGACGCGATCGAGCGATGGCTGGAAACTGGGCTCGACAGCCTCCGGGACGCTTCTCTCGCGTCGCTCGCCCTTCGCACCGACTGGTCGGTGGACGCAGCGTGCTCGCTGATGTACCAATTTGCGATGGCCAAGGAGCAGCAGCGGCTCGCCCCGCCCACTCCGCCACCGGGCGTGCCGCCTCCGATCCTTACGCAGCCGATCATCAAGATCACGACGGGCGCATCGGGTGAGGGCAGCGACGAGGCCCTCTCCGCGGCCGCTGCCGCGCAGAGCTTGACGCCCACGGAGCGCGCGTGCGTCAAGAGGCTCGCCGCATTCGCCGCCATCGATCGACGCCCCAGCTGAGCTGCGCAACCTCCTCACCGTCGACCCGGTGTACGGCGACCGCGCCACGCGCACGCCGCTGTTCCGCCACGCCGATGGCTCCGCCATCACCGAGGCGCAGGTGCGGGACATGATCAAGCGGCTGATGCAGCGCGCCGGTGCGTCGCCCGCCGAGTTCGGCGCCCACTCGCTGCGCATTGGTGGCGCGACGGCGCTCTTCAAAGCGGGCGCCTCCCAGATCGACATCATGACGATGGGGCGGTGGTCGTCCGACTGCTACCGCCTGTACGTCCGCGCCTGCTTCGGTCACGCCGTCGAGTGGTCGAGGAAGGCCGGGTCCACTAGCGTCGACGACGTCGCCGAGGAGTACAAGGAGGTGGACTGTTACTGATGGAGGTGCCTGACACGCGATCGCGTGGGGGGGGACTGCGCCCTGGCCGTTCCGGGCTCACGCGGTGGTCACCATCCCGGAGAGCGAGGGGTAGGGAGCAGCGCCTCCCCCCTCACCACGCATGTCAGGCGCGGCCGCCGCCGAGCGCGGCGGCCGCCCAGGCCTCGTGGCCGATTTGTTTGTCTCGCAAGAGGAGCGCATTTCTCAATTCAACTACTCCTCTCCTTCGAGACCCTCTCGCGCTATGAAGGCGGGCGAGAGGAGGGAGGGGCCCCTTGCAGAGCGGCCCCTTTTTTTGGCAGAGCCGCCGAAAAGTCAACCACCCCTCCCGGACCACTCATGCCGACTACGCTACTCATAGCGGCGGCATCCTTCTACAAGCGACGAGACGTGGCACCGCTGCCGCCACCGCCACCGCCGCCGCCGCCGTCCGTAAGCGACGTGCACCTCTTCATAGTGATCGTCACGTCGGCAGTCCTGCTGCTGCCTGCACTGCTCGTCGTTCGAGCTCACCTCACGACGATGCCTATGCCGCACCTGAGGTTTCGGACGTTGCTGGTTGGGCACATCCTCGACGGGCGCCTAAACATCAACGAGCGCCACCGTTTCTACGCTCGCCAGCACGCATTGTTGGGCTCCGCCTTCCGGCTCCTCGGCTTCTTTGGGAAGTCGGGTGCGGTGTATGTCAAAGACGTGCCCGGCTGGTATCGCAAGGCCGACTCAGACCGCTCCGCCTTTGCCGCCGTGGCGCCCAGGTCGTTGCTGGCACTGCCGATGGGCCCAGACTGGGCCATGCAGCGCAGGCTGGTCGCCCCTCTCTTCTCGACCTCCTCGATCGACTCGTTCCTCCCGCTCGTGCACGCCAAGAGTCTCGAGCTGTGCGAGCTGTGGCGCACGCGCGCGTCCTGTGAGCACGAAGTGCCCGAGCAGGACGTACACGAGACGCTGAGCAGCTGGTCGCTCGACATCTTTGGCCATGTGGCGTGTGCGCACGACTTCGGCGCCCTTGCGTCGGCTAGCGAGGAGCGCCAGAGCCCGTACGCCGCCGCCGCCAAGGTCATTCTGCAGGAGCTCACTCGTCGCTTCCTCCTGGGCAAGCTCGCGCCGCTGCAGCGTGCGAAGACGCGCGCCTTCAAGGGTGCGTTGCAGCTCTATCGCTCGACGGCGGAGGCCATCCTGCAGCGAGCGGCGGCGGGGAGCAGCGAGGCGTCGGGCAGCCTGGCGGCGAAGCTCGCCAAGTGTGCCGAGAGCGGGGGCTCGGCGCTCACGCCGTCCGCAGTCGCCGACGAGATGACCGGGCTGCTGCTCGCGGGGCACGAGACGTCGAGCAACACGGCGACCTGGGCGCTGCATCTGCTCGCCACTCACCCGCGCGAGCAGGAGCAGGTTCGCGCCGAAGTGGCCGCCCTCGACCTGCGCCGCGCCAGCCTCGCCGACCTCTACAAGTGCTCGCTGCTTCAGGGCGTCATGTTCGAGGCGCTGCGGCTGCGCCCGACGGTGCCGCTCGTGCCGCGGCTCGCTCCGTCACGCGCGACCATCCACGGCTACTCGGTGGCAAAGGGCACGCGCATCGTGCAGAACAAGATCGCGATCTGTGAGGACGCGTCCCTCTTCCCCGAGCCGGCGCGCTTCGACCCGAGCCGCTTCGGCCGCGGCGAGTACGGTGCGCACGGCGCCACCATCGTCGCCTTCGGCGTAGGACCGCGCCTCTGCGTCGGCTACCGGCTGGCAGAGGCGCAGGTGCTCTCACTGCTCGCGCACGTGCTGCGCGACTTCAGCCTGTCGGCCGGCAGCACCGAGCCCAAGGAGGCCCTGAACGTGACGCTCCAGCCGCTCGACGGCTTGCTCCTGCGGCTCACGCCGCTTTCGGCTCCGGTGGCCGTTCGCTCAGACCACGACCCACCGGCAACCTGAGGGACTGTCTTTTTGGCTGTCCGAGGAAAATTGTTGGTAGAGCTTCGATGCTCGGGGGGGCGGCGGCTGTGAAAACGCCCGTGAGTGCGCGCGCTTTCGCTCGCACCCGTCGGCGCTTCTCTCCTCGCTCACCACCGCAAGCCGGCGGCGAGATCGCACCCGTCGGCGCCACATCCCAGCAAGCCGGCCGATGCCGCCGCAGAAAGCGGCCTCCGCCTGCCCCCGCTGCAAGTTCTTCTGCCGCGACACGCTGCTCGAGGACGAGCAGGACCTCCGCGCCCGCGACGAGGAGGAGCAAGCGCGGCGTGAGCTCTCCCTCGCGCACGGCGGCTGGGTGTGCGACTTTGCGCCGCCGCGCGTGCCGCCGAGCGTCGCCAAGCGGGTGCAGGAGTTTGTGCAGCTGCGGCCGGCCGTGCTGCACAGCGACGAGCTGATCGACAAGAAGGACGCCCGCCAGGTCGAGCTCCTCCTCACCGAGCTCATCGCCCACAACACGCCCGTCCAGGCACGCCGCAGCCCTCGCGCCTAGTGCTCGTGCGGCTCCTCCCCTGGCGGACGAGGTGGGCGTGCGGGCGAGGAGGGCCTTGCCTAGCCACGGCCGTCCTGGCCGCAGCGAGACGCCGCGAGGCGGGACGCAGCGAGAGAGAGCAGAAAAGAGCCTCCGCACCCCCGCCCTCTTCCCGATCGCCCCCGCCCTCGCCGCAGGTCGTCTTCCTGCAGGGAGCGGTTCCTCTGCAGGCAACCCGCGCCGCCGGAGCTCCCCTCCTGCCACCCCTCGGTCATCTGCATCGCCGCCTCCCTCCTCCTCCCACCTCCTCCCTCCTCCCCTCCTCCCCTCCTCCCCAACCCTCCAAGCTGCCCACTACCGCATGGCGCCTGTCCCCGCCTCCGCTCCTCGCCCCCCACCTCGCCTTCGCCTCGCCTCGCCTCCCCTCCTTCTCTGCAGACCAAGCCGTGGCTCTTCGCTGCGCTCTGCGACCTGCTGCGCAAGTGCCCCGTCTGGTCCATCAACCTCGGCGAGCTGCGCTTCTCCGAGGAGCAGTGCGTCCGCCTCGGCGCCACCCTCGCCGCCTCGGGCGTCACGCACATGTTCTACGAGTGCACCGTCGCCGGCCGCTGGAAGGACGAGTTTCGCGGCAACCCTCTGCCGGAGCAGAGAGAAGCACGTGCCCAGGACACTGTGCAGGACAGCTCCGAGACACGCGTCCAATAGGCATTATCCGGCGGAACCGAGAGAAGCACTCCCTGTGGCGCCTCTCTGCCGACTGCCGCCAGAACGTCGTCGTGCTCTCGGCGATCAAGAACTGGTTCTGCCCCACGTCGCACGCGTGCAACAAGCGGTGGGTGCAGCGGAACCGCGACGGCTACACCGGCGTCGACCGGCTGCAATGCGAGAGTTGCGGCGCGTGGAGGCGGCTGCCCCGCGGCGTGACGGCGTGGCGGCGCGAGTTCTACTGCCACTACAACACGTGGGACAAGTACAACTCCTGCTCCCTGCCCGAGGAGGACTGGAAGCGCGAGGAGCCCGCGACGGGCGACCGCCTCCGCCTGCTCGTCGACGGCCGCTGGCGGCGCGCGACGGTGCGGCGCATGCCGACGGAGGCGCAGTGGGCGGGACACAAGCAGCGCCTGCAGCAGGAGGGCGAGGCTGGCGCTGCCGGAGGCGGCGCGAGGGAGGAGGAGGAGGCGGCGGCGCCGCGCGCAAAGCGCGCGCGCAAGCCGGTGAGATGTGCGAGGCGAAGCAAGGCACCGCTCACTTCACAACGAATGAACGAGTCGTGAGTCATTGGTAGGTGGAGATGTACAAGGCGGAGCCGTGCACCGCCCTCTCTCGCGCGCTGCGCGTGCAGAGCTGCGAGGACCAGAGCGAGCGCAAGCTCTACCGGATGGTGGAGGTGGAGGCGGTCTCGGAGGGCGGCGGCGAGGGCGCCGCCTCTCCCGCCGCATGGCTCGTGCTGCGCCTGACCGCGCTCAACCACAAGTCGCTCTGGCGCGGAGAGACCGCCGAGATCGCCCGAGATCGCCCGAGATCGCCCGAGATTGCCTGAGTCTGTGCGCCTCAGCCACAAGTCGCCCTGGTGCCGCTCCGGGCGTGACGGCTCGCCACTCCCTTCGCCGGGTGCGGCGTCCCCTCACACACGGCCGCCGCCGTGAGAGCAGGTGCTTCGAGCACGACGAGCAGCCGCCCGCGCCAGAGCCGGAGGCGGAGGAGGCGGACGAAGGGGCGGAGGAGGAGGGGGAGGGGGAGGAGGAGGAGGAGGAGGGGGAGGGGGAGGAGGGGGGGGAGGCGGCGAAGCCGCTGGCGGCGGGGAGCGTCGTGCAGTTTGCGCTCGACGGCGTGCACTGGTCCCCTCTGGCGCTGGTGCGCGTGGCTGGCGAGAGGAGGGAGGGAGAGTGGCACACGCTGCGCAAGCACCTCGAGCAGGAGAGGCTGCGGCTCGAGGCGACGGCGGCTGTCGGCGGCAGCGGCAGCGGCGGCAGCGGCGGCGGCGACAGCGGCGGCGACAGCGGCGGCGGCGATAGCGGCGGCGGTGACGGAGGTGGAGCGGGCGGCGGACAACAGGCGCGAAACTTTGCGCGCCTGAGGCCGCCTGCCTGCCATGTCGGCGGCGAGGCCGGCGGCGGCGAGGGGGGCGAGGGGACGGCCAGTGCCGAGCCCGGCCGTCGCAGCGCTTCTGGCGCCGAGAGCGAGGAGGAGGAGGCGTCGGCGGTGGCGGCGGTCGAGATGGTCGACGAGAATGGCGTCTCTTCACACCCGCAGCCCTGAACAGGTCTCGGCAGCCAAGTCGCGGAGCCGGCGCGCGCCTGCTCCGGTGCGTCGGCACTGTCCGAGACGCCGCGCCTCGGCGCACCTCGGCACGGACTTCGGCATAGACCTCGGCTAGACTTCGGCAATAGACCTCGGCAATAGACCTCGGCGCACCTCTGCGCACCTCGGCAGGTGCGCACGTACGACTCGTCCGAGACGTCGGCCGAGTACTCGCGCCGCAAGCGCGAGGAGGCGCGCAAGGACGACGAGCTTCGGCGCACCTTCTGGCGTGCTTCCCTCCCCTTCCCTGCCCTCGCCTCGCCTCCTCGCCTCCGCTCCCTCCGCTTGCCCCCTCTCCACTCTTGCCCTCCCCCAGACTCCGCCCCCCCTCTCTCAGGTGGGCCGAGATCCTCGAGTCGCCCTTCGCCACCAAGCACGGCCAGGTCGGCAAGGAAGTCTGCCTTCAGCTGCACGCAGACACTCTCAACAAGATCTGGAGGCTGTGAGGCTGGGAGGAGGTTGGCGAAACAGGTGGTGGCGTAGCGCCGAGGGCGGCGATGGCGGAGGGGCCGTATCGCGCGCTCGCGGGCGGCGTCGGACGTCGCGTCGCCACGCCCGATCGGCGAGACGGGGGCACTCCCGGTCCCTGCACAATAGCTGCACACGTTGGGACATGGGACCAGGGCGCGGCCGCGGTCTGCCGTGGGTGCGGAGATGGTGGGCCGCGCCCGGGCTAGCGGTACGTTAATCGTTATGCATGTCGTGAAAAGCTAAAAAGGTATCCCGCACCGATTGTGGATTGATGACATGACTGTGAACAGTTTTGCGGGGGGTACCCTCACTTGTAGTGAGCGTCGGGCTGGTGGTTCGACACCGAGTTTGAAAGATCTGTTTCTCTACGTCTCTCTTCACAGGAAAATCCTGTGAGAAAAAAGCGAAGAAAAAAGAAAAAATCCGCCGCGGCCTTAGCCGACGGTACTCCGAAAGCGCCGGGTACAGCCCCATGTCATCAACGGGTGCGCTCAAGCCGGGCTGCCAGGTGCACGCGATCACGTGTAAGGTACCCAACGCGGAGGTGGGCGTGTTCGAGCAGCTGCTGGCAAAGCACGAGGCGTTCATGCGCGAGACGCACCAGCCGGGCGGCGACTCCGAGCCTCACGCAATGGTGTTCACGTGGTGCAAGTCGGCTGGTGAGGAGAGCACGCTGTACGGGCTGCACGAGTGCTACCGTGGCGCGAAGGGATGCACCGAGCACCTCGTCGTTGCTTCGGCGAAGGCGCCACAGCTCCTTGAGGAGTTTGGCGCCATCGTCGGCAAGCACGCCAACTCGTGGGTGACATTCGCGCCGGTCATCCACACGATGAAGGATTCGATGGTGGAGGGAATGGCAGCGGTCGACTGCGACAAGAAGATGTTCCAGCTGCACTTCAACGTCGACGAGGGCTCCGACGCCGAGAAGGAGATGGACGCTTTCGCCGCCGACCACGCCGCCTTTATGGAGGAGACGCACACGCCCAACGGCAGCGGTGCTGAGCCTTCGCCGCTCTACTTTGTGTGGACGAAGAGTGCGCAGTTCAAGGACCCCTTCGACCCCTCCAAGGGGAGTGAGCCCAAGGTGCAATTCTCGCTCACCGAGATCTACAAGGGGCAGGAGGGCTGCGACGCGCACATGGCGGCCGGCCAGGCGAACGCGCCGCTCTTCGCGCGCTTCCAGGCGGTCGTCGAGAAGCACTCGGTCGCCACGTGCATGATGGCGGACGTGATCCGCTCAATGCGCTGAGCGGAGCGGTGGCGCGCGACACGAATTCGCGAGCGAGGCGGCGCGTGCAGGCCGGCGCGCACAGCGAGCTGACCGCTGGCGCTCGGTGGCGTTGCGTCTGTGCTGGATTAGCTAGATGGGGTAGATGGGCGCGCGACACGAACTCGCGAGCGAGGCGGCGCGCGCAGGCCAGCGCGCAGCGAGCTACCGCTGGCCACGTACATCGGCCCTGGACTCTCTGTCTCTCTTGAAAGCACTTGTCTGGAGGAGGCCCACGGTGTGTGCCGTGACCGTGTTCTTTCTTTCTGTCTGCGCCCTTGGTTCTTCATTATTTAGTCTCTTGGGTCATGCTCTTGCCGCAACTCGCGTCCGAGTTAGTCTCTAGTGTGGCGGTGCACTTGCGACTTGGAAAGAAAGAAAGAAAGAAAACAGACAACCCAAGGGAGGGATGGGAGGACGGCACGCCGCCACCACACACAGGGATTTTAAGGAGAGGTGTGTGGTGCGCTAGCCGTCGCCCACCCTAGGGAGTCTGCCTCTTCCTATCTCTCTTCGCAGTCTCTCTCCGATTCTTGCGACTTGGAGCACGCGAACTTGGCGGCGCGGGGGTTTCTTTATCCTGTGGTCGGGCCAAGCCGTCGCCCGCGCCTCGCCTGTCGCGCGTGAATCGCGAATTCTTTATCTTTCGTCGCCTAGTACCGGGTAGTCGGGTAGTGTGCGGCGCGCACACACGAGCATGAGCGACAAGAAGATGCCCGCGTCCGACAAAACAGCGATGGGCGTGGCGAAGCAACGGCTGATCGAGACTTGTATGCCGGAGGCCGAGCGAGTGGTGACAGATCCGTACGCAGAGTACTTTGTCCCGGGCGCATCCGTGATCAAGTGCATGGGTGGGCCTTGCAACGTCTGGCTGGGTGACAAGATTCTTCCAGGAGTCCATCAATTGCTGATCGCTCGTACGCGCCACTTTGATGAGGAAGTGATGGCCGCAGTGATGGCCGGCGCGACACAATTTGTCATGCTGGGAGCTGGCTACGACGCACGCGGCTGGCGCTTACCGCTGCCGAAGACGGTGAAAGTGTTCGAGGTGGACCAGCCCGATGTGCAAGCTTTGAAGAAAGCCAGGCTTGCCGGGGTGCCCGGTCTCGCGCTCGACGCAGTGAGCTTCGTTCCAGTGGACTTTACTGTGGACAGCTTAGAGACGGAGCTCAAACGCTGTCCCGGCTTCGACCCCGCGGCGAAGTCAGTCTTCCTGCTCGAGGGTGTGACGCAGTACATATCCAAGACGGCGACATCGAGCACCCTGAAGAGCCTTGGCAAGCTGTGCGGCCGTGGTTCGCGAATCGTTGTGTCATACGTTGACCAGAACACGTACGACGCCCCGGCAAAGGTGTGTGGGTCGGGCTATCCAGCCCCCGAGAAGAAGGTGGGCCTCCTCGTCAGCTTGGCCGCCAGGGTGAGCGAGCCATGGATCAGCGGCTGGTCGCAGGCCGACTTTGCTGCCTTCCTCAAGAGCACGAGTACCTTCCCGAAGGTGTTGTCTGACGTGTCGATCGACGTGCTCGGCGAACGCTACTTTGCGCCGCTCGGAAGGCCGATACCGGCCGAGGAGCTGCTGCTGGTAGAACGGTACGCAGTTGCCACGAACTAATGCCAAGAGGAGCACACAGATTTTTTAATGTCCTACGGGGCTACCTGAACACCACAGAGTGCCTACGACGAGGGGGTGTCAGTGGAGAGACCACTTCACAGCTGTATGCCTTGCTCCTTTAGGTGCTCTTTAGTATGTTCTGACTCATCCGTCCCTGACTGCCTGAGTACACTCCCTTCCTGTTGTCTTGTACTTGGCGTCCTGTGGGTGTGTTCACAGTCTTGTGTGAATTTCGGCGTCCGCCGAAATTCAAGGTCCGTCGGTCTCTTTTGACCGCGGCGTTAGAGAGAGTCTTTGCTTGTCATGCCTTTTGCCTTCTCTCTGGCGCTCACGCTCCTAAAAATAGAAAGAAAAGAAAACGGAGAACCCAAGGGAGGGATGGGGGGACGGCACGCCGCCACCACACAGGGATTTTAAGGAGACGCTCCCGCTGCTGCTTGATGTGTTTATTCTTTACCATGGCAGGACGCGTCGGGGTCGCCTTAGCACAGCTTGGTCGCAGCGAATGGAACCACCGCGAAATGAGACGCCGGACGAGCCGCCGAACCTCTGCTGCCCCATCACGCAAGTCATCTTCCGCGATCCGGTCTTCGTGCCAGAGGCGGGCACCACGTACGAGCGAGGCGCCATCCTCACATTCTGGCGGCAGGCCGGTGAGCGGCGCGATCCACTCACGAACACTCCTATCCGGTCAGACGTGCTCTACACGAACTGGGACAAGCGCAGGGAGGTTGCCAGCTGGCTCGGCGAGCACTTGGATTACACGCCGCAAGGCTGGCGCTCGCGAGATGACATCCCTCAAGGGAGGCGGATCATCTTTGACCCACCCCAGTCTGATCGCAACCCGCAGCAGCTGCTGGCGGCCGCGCGTCGTTTTCCCGGCCTGAGCTCGAAGACGTGTGCCATACTCGCTTGCGTCATCACGGCAATCTCATCGGGGCTGGGCGTCAACATCAGCGCTGAGCTCGTCAGTATTGCAGTTGGCAGCGCGCAGCCACCGAGCGACGATTCGTGCAACGCAAGCCCATATGGCAAAATCAGTGGGCGAGAGCCCACCGCTCACGGCATCATAGCCGCCAGGATACTGTGGATCGACGATGCGGGCCGGCAGAAGCCGTTTTTCTTCGGCGCCAAACCTTCTACTTCGACGCCTGGCTTGTCGAGCCGCCTGCAGATCTCCGTGCTGCAAACTCCCTCGGCTGAAGCTTCCGATAGCGCCCGCGGCGGTTCGCTGATCACGGAGGCGCATACCAACGCTGGCGACGGCGCTGTGTGGAGCCGCAGCGCCGGCAGGTACGTCACCGTTTCCGCCCCCGGCGTGACCTTCAGCACCATGGTCGAGCAGTACAAGACGCTGGCGGCGGCTCACGGGTTGCGACTGGACATGCCCCACGGTAGCCTCTTCTCTGGGGACAACTTTGCGAGCCTCGTCGTCCTCGGGTTCACCACGCTGTGGACGGGCAGCGCGCTGCGTGCGGACGCCCCCCTCCTCTTCACCCTCTTCTCATGCCCGTTTTGGCACGTGGGCGCGTCACTGCTCGCCAACACCCTGCGCGCTCTCCTCCATCGCTCGACGCTCGCCCTTCACGAAGGCGGCATCCAGGTCGAGAACGAGAGGTCCACCCTCGCGGAGTACTTCGACCTCTTTCGGACTTCGACGTGCGCCTTTGTGCCGTGGAGCGACGTGTCGGCCGGCAGCCTTGAGGAGTCGCTGCACTTGACGGTGACGCACATCATCAACGGCGTCGAATCTGGGCTGCTCGAGGTGCGGACGGTGCGGGGCACGCTCGCGCTGACAGGCGGCGCCGATCTGACGATGAACGAGCTGCGCAAAGTCCGCGAGCTCCTGCTGCTCTGGGCGAGAGAGAAAGGGCTCGGGGTCCAATCGGTGGAGGCTCGCCAGGAGGCCTAGTCTTGGTCTTTGTTTCGATACCGAATCTTTTTTCTTCGCTGCTTTGTCGCGAAGCAAGGCGCCGTCCCTGAGCAATTGAGCGGACTGACAGGCAGTTGTGTGTGTGTCGACCTCACGCGCGTGAATGCAACACATTCCGGCCATGGCATTGCTGCGGGCGCCCATCGTCATCATCGAGCCCACTGCAGTGCACTCGCACAGCCTCATCCTACTTCACGGTGCCGCGCACATGCTTCCCGCCGAGACTCGTAGTTTGCGTGAGATGTTGCTTGTCGAGACTCGTAGATTCGTGAGATGTCGCTTGTCCGTAGGCATGCACTGCGACGGCCGGATGTTTCAGCGCTTGCCGCAGATTCTGACGGCGCTCGGTGGCAACGCGTCGGGCACGCGCTTCATCTTCCCGTCGTCGCCGGTCCGGACCATCTCCTGGCCTCAAGGACCTGAGTCCGGCGTGCGTGCGTGGTACGACTACTACACCGCGCGCGGCGGCTCGATGCGCCACGACGAGATCAACCGCACGCACCTGAAGCAGATGACGCAGGCGAGACGCTCGCAGTGCAAAAACCGCTGCGGGAGCGCACCGTTCTCAGCTCTCCGAGCCGTGAGCAGGCCGTGCACCGGCTGCTCGACGCCGAGGTGGCGTCGCTCGGCGGCGACCCTTCTCGCGTCGCCATCGGAGGCAACTCGCAGGGAGGCACGGTCGCCATCCACGCGGCCCTGACCTACCCGAAGCCGCTCGCCGCCCTCTTCTCCCTCTGCTCCATCCTGCTCGACGTAACGCCCGCGCCGCCCGCCCTCGCCGATCGGCTTCCGGTCTACGTGTTCACGGCAGAGTTCGACCAGGAGTACGCGCCCCGCTTCCAGCACAAGTGCTTCAAGCGGCTCGCAGACGTTGGCTTTCGACTCTTTTCGCATGTCGAGCCAGGCGCCGCCCTCTCCACACACCTCTCCGCTGGCCCACCTCGTGTCTCACGCCTTCCGACTCGCCTCCGACTCGCCTCCGCCGCCCTCTCTCCACCTCACCCGGCCGTCGACAGGCCTCGACCACTACACCACCTCCACCGCCGAGCTGCACCACGCCGCCGCCTGGGCCTCCCTCGCGCTGCACGGCCGCCCACTCCCGCCCGTGACGTACCGCGACGTCCCCTCCGCCGTGCCGCAGCCGCCGCTCGACTTTTACCACCGCGGCGCGGGCGCCATCCTGTCGGAGCCGCCCGACGGAGGAGCGGCCGGCGGCTGGTGGGCCTCCTGGTGGGGAACAAGTGGGCGCGTGGGTGCGAACGCTTCTTAGTTGTGTAGCATGTTGGACTGTGAGAGTCTTGAGCTTGACTCTGTGTACCTTTCTCGCCTTAGCGACTGGACATCAAGGCGTGGCGCGTGGACCGTCACGTGTGAGAACGCACCCAATCGAGCAAGCATCGGAACGAGAAAAAAGTGACGGTTTTTGAGACACTCTTCTGTGGTGTTTTTTGGTGTTCACGTGAGTGTGAGAGACGTGTGTGGTGTGTGCGAGTAAATACACCCCCGTTCGTTTAAGCCGTAGCTGCGAATAGCCGTCGAGCGTCGTTTGTTGATGTTGTGTGTCGTGTTGTGTCGTGCGCCGCCAGAGTACAGAGAGAAAGTGGAGCTCTGAGCTGTTGTGTTCAGCGCAAAAGGCCTCTCGTCACTCTACATTACCCGCTCTCCACGCTGTGAAGAGAATTGTCCCGCTAGACAAGCGCCACGCTACGCACCGAAGAGCTCCGGTGCTTCATAGAGAAGGAGGAGGTACGCGCGTACACGTCCTTGGCCGCGACCTCCTCGTCGGGCGGCGCCGGCTTCGACGGGAAGATGATCTTGAGCGCGAGCTGCACGAGCCCAAGCGCAAGGCCTGTTCACAGCCTAGGCATATGACATATGATGTCGACCACTGAAAACGAGCCGCAAGTGCGAGGCCGGTAATATTGGGCCCGTACACGGCGGGGTCGTTGATTGAGAACACGCCATACGCGCTCCAAAGGCTGCAGTTGATCACCTGGAACGCCGTCATGCTCGCGAGGATCGAGCCGGCGTCGCGCGTGGAGATAACGGTCCTGGTGTCCAGAAGCATCAATGAGCAGGAAACGTACCGGTCAGGCTAGCGGGAGCATTGAGGAGTAGATCTCTACATGCATATGAATCTAGGGCGTCGGCGTGATGGTCGAGAGCGGCGAAGCGAAGAGGATAATACAGAAGCCGGCGGCATAGATGCCGAGTAGCGCGCCAAAGTCCTCAGAGGACATGCCCGAAAAGACAAAGTACGTCCAGAGACAGAAGTTGATGAGGCAACCGACAAGGAGGAGACCTTGGACGCTCCGAAGGCTGGGATGGCCCTTCATCATGGGCAGCATCACGACGAGCGCTCCAATGGCGGCGAGGCTGCCGGGTGCATTGCTTGCAACCAAGAAAGGGTTCTGAATTATCAGGCCGTAAAAGACCCAGGCGAGAGTGGACAGGACAACGAAGGTTGCTGCAGGAGTCAGGGAGATGAGCGTGGTTGGAGCTGCTGGGAATTGCCTATCTTATCTCCCTACTCTCCTCCCTCTCCGTCTGCAAACACCTGGGAGCGGATTGAGCGGGCCCAGGTCACCGATCCGCTCGCGCGAGAGCACGGCAGGAAGAGGGGCTGCGTAGAGGGCGTTGGAGGTGAAGATGCCGGCAATGGGAGCACCGACGCCGAGCAAGTCGACTCCCATCCTTCCTCTCGGAAGCAGCCGGAGGTCCTGGCGGCAGCCACGCAAATCCGCGCAAGCGCCGATCTCGGTAGTATCCCGCTAAAGTATCCGCCCGTCCACCGTCGCGCCCATGGACGAATCGGCAGAAGCCTCTCCATCCGTGACGCCTCCATCGCCGCCCACCGACCTTGCGAAAGTGCGCTCCACACTCACCAACCCGAGTGCACAACCCGAGCATTCGTTCAGCGGCGGCGCAATCCCGCTTTTCGTGTCACAGGTGCGAGCCGAGATCGCCCGCCGCCTCGTCGATCCCTCGCATGACGATGGGTCCCTCGCTCCGCTGTTGATCCGGCACGCCTGGCACCAGCTGCGGTGAGTTGAGCATACAGTACGGCATCCACACTGGCCACCCTCAGGTACGCGTGGCACGCGAGCGGGACGTACGATCGGCACACACGCACCGGCGGCTCCAATGGAGGGACGATGCGTTTCGAGACCGAGCGCGCCGACCCAGAGAATGCAGGGTTCAGTAAGGCTCACGCGCTGGTGGAGGCACGCATCTCGTGGCCAGGACGTAGCGTTGGATAGCCGTCACGAAGCCCATCGTATCGTAGGCTGTCAAGGCACTCTTTCCGGCACTCTCGATGGCAGACATTATCATTCTCGCAGGCCACGTCGCCATCGAGCACACTGGTGGTCCGGCCGTGCCATTCTCGTACGGACGGCGCGACTTTGGTGTCGAAGAGGCGCGGGCGATACACGGCGCGACTGGGTGCCCGTTTGGCGATGGCAAGCACAACCCTAAAGGCAGCCGGCTGCCAGCGGCCGATTTGGGGCCGCGGGAGGGGTGCGCGGCGTCGGCTTCGATGGCGGAGAAAGAAAGTCCGACGATCGATGCGATGCGGGGCACGTTTGATCGGCTCGGATTTGATGATAAGGAGACAGTCGCACTCATTGTCCTCGGCCATCAGTACGGCCGCTGCCACGGCGACGCCTCTGGCTTCGAGGGCGCATGGCGCGAGTGCTAGAGATGTTCAAGACTACCCCAGCATAGGGATACCCCGCACCAGCGTGTGGACCCGTTCATCAGGTACGCCTTTGACCCGACGCATTGGAACTGCTATGAGAGGGGGCTGGGGTACCCGTCGGCGTACACGCACGGCGTCGCGCGTGGTGGTTATCGGCTGAGCCCTGGCGTTCTGGCGGCGCGCAACCAGCGCCAGTACGAGATGGACTTTGGCGGGGGCGAGCCGTTCATGATGCTGGTGAGCGACATGTGCCTGTGGTACGACGAGGTCTGCTCGAGATTTTTCCGCTGCGATTCTTTTCTATTCGTCTTGATGGCCCACCAGTCATTAACGACCCACTTCCCTCCTCCCTCTTCCGCAGGAGTACCGGCGTCATCTGCTACATTACGATAGTCACCGCAGCGAGTTCCGCCGCGATGCGGCACTCGCGTGGAAGAAGCTCACCGAGCTGGGTTGTGCTGGCACCCTGGTGCCGGAGAGGGAGACCAAGGCGGCGTGACGCGAGAGCGTGCAGGCCGTGTCCGCGCGTGCAGCTGCAGGCCGGCGTGGCGAACTCGCGAATACCAATACGGACTAACGTACGACCTATAGTACTTATAGTACGCGCCGCTGCGGTCGCGCGCTCGCGGCCCAGCCGCTCCCGTGCTTCTCCGCTTGTGCCTTCTCGGTTCTCTCGCCCCTCTAAGCGCTCCGCCCGCGCGCCGCGGGTCCGGGTTCCCGGCGTTTTGACATTTGAGAATTTCCACCGTTGATGTGCTCGTGTGGGAGTGGGCCTTTTGCCTCTCCGGGCACGCTACTTGTACTGTTGCGTGTGTGCAGAAGAAGGCGTACTTTTAGAACGTCCTGTTAAATCTCTCCACTCCTTCCTTCTGACTGTCTCGCGGTCGCCAAAACGCCAAAGTTAATCTGTCAGTCCGCCGCCGCCGCATCGTCATCGTCGTCGATGAGTATCAGGTCGCGCTTGAGCCGGACGCCACAACAAAGCCAGCAGAGGTACTTGAAGGGCACCTCCTCGCCGCCCGTCTTGCGCACGTACACCCGCCGCGGCACGACTGCCTGCAGCTTGTCCGTGTCCAGCACCTCGCGCGCAAAGCCGACGTGCAGCACCGAGATGGGCAGCAGCATGACGAACGGCTTGCCTGTCGAGGCTAGCGCGCGTAGCACCGCCTCCTTCATCTCTGGCGAGGTGTAGGGCGGGTTGTCGAGGATCAGATCAACCTTTTTGAGGAACTTTGGGTTGCGCACCTGCACGAAGAAGTCCTCCCGCTTGTGGTGCACGCGCGTGAAACCGAGCTCACGCAGGTGCTCGGCGCACGCTCCGTCGTAGTAGAAGGGCATCCAGATCCGCTTCTCGCGCGCTGCCGGACCGAGCACCTCAGCTATCGCCGCCCAAGATCTCCGAGCGGTCTGCCAATCGTCGGACGCGCCAGCGCCACCGCCGAGCCGGCCCGAGGTGGTAGCCACGGGAGGGCCTCGAGAACTGCTGCCACCGGCGTCGTCTGGATCGCGACGTCGTTTCTTCGCCATTGTAGCTCTGACAACGAGGGAGCAGAGCAGGGGTGGCTCGCCAGGCACGAGGGAGCGCGCACCCAAGGGACCCCGGGGGGGGGGTGTGTGAGTATAGAGCTCTATGAGCGACCCAGCTCGAGGGTTGCTCTCGACTCTGGCCTTTCGGGTCACGTAGCCACACCTCGCCTCCTCGGTGCGAGTGGCTGCCAGTTCGACTCTGGGGAGGATCGAACCATCAACAGGGGGGGACTTCGTGTTCGAGCGTTGTTCGCTTTGCTGCGCCTGGGGTCGGTAGGCAGGTAGGTACGTGAATGTCGGGAGACCGAGGGCACCGCACACAGCGGCAACAGAAGACCCCCCCTAGATCCGGCTAGTCGCAGACAAGAAGAAAACTTCGCGCCATGCCTGTGCAGTCCGTGTGTAAGCCCTGGTGTATGGACCGGTATGTACGTGTACGTACTTTTCAGTGTATGTAGCTCTTACGTACATTCCCGGAGGAGGACTGCTGCTTTTAGCTTACTGGGAGAAAAGGGAGAGGGTCTCTCTCTCTACGTGTATGTATGCATCGAGGGCAAGAACAGCCAGGCTCGGACTGGACACCAACATACCGACGCGGTCCCTTTCTCCTGTGGAGGCTCCCCTCGGAGGGCGCCTCAACTTGAGTAGCGTCCTGGGTGGGTGGAGGTCCTCGGCGGGCGCTGTGAGTTTCGCCGATATCGCGCAGCAAAACGAGGTTGATCGGTGGGCGTCAGCGACGCACGCCTCGCAGCACACCAGCGCCCCTGCCGCGCCACATGCCCCTACCTGCTCCACGCAGTCCAATCCTCCCGATGGATTGCCACGCCCGCCCCGAAATTCCCGCACGCTCTCCGCGCCGCGAGCGGAGCGCCGCTCGCCAGCCTGCCCACGCCGCAACGCCCCCCACGCGCCGCTGCACAGATATGAAGCTGTTCGTTCGGCTCGTTCCCTTTGCGCTCATTGGCGTCGTCAGCGCCTTTGCAACGGGCATGGAGTGCATCGACACTCCCCCGGCGACGGTTAAGGGCGCAGCTTCCCTGCTGGAACTGGGTGGTGTGGAAAGCTGCGAAGGTTTGGCCAATATTGGCTACTGCTCCCACGCGGAAGGCAAAAGAGTACTGCTGCGAGACCTGCAAGGATGCTGAGCCAGTAAGAGGGGTGAGAGGTGGGTTCCTTTTTAATTCCCTCTTTTCTACTTTTCTTTTT